GGTCCCCTTACCCCTCGAGCCAAAAAGTTAAATAACTGCGGAAATATTTCCCTCTGTCCTTCAAGATGTTGTGACCGTCACTAAGTTTAGTCTCTTGTTTTCCTGAATATAGCCATCCTCTTGGCATATACCGTATATAGTTGTTAATTGATTTCATGGCTAGCGACTTCGTGATTCATTGCTGACACAAATCAGTTGCAGACGCGCGGTTCCCTTTCGTAACTAACCAAACAGTTCGAAAGCGAGAGATCCGCCTTCAGTCGTGCGTGAGGTATAAGGTAGTTAAGGTGTTCATGTTTGAACGTTTATTCGTTTTTAACTGGTTATGGTGAATTGGATGATTTCTCAGGCTCATAAAGATACTGTACTATAAGTGACTATAAGTGACGATGCTAGTGGGTCTTATGATTTCATGGTTTCATTCATTTTTTATTTGCTTCTATTACAATGTTTCGACCTAACTGGCATCGATCACCACCAGGGACTCCAAGATCAGAGAAAAACAAATATATAAAATTGACGACCCGTTGCTAAAGGCCATTCATTCAATAAATGCTGATAGCAGGGGCTCCTTCAGAGTAAATTCGAGAGACTTCAACGTTGGCACTGGTCTCCGCCAAGGCTGCGTCCTGTCTCGTCTCCTGTTTGTGTTGTACATGGATAGAATAGCCAGAAGCTGCCAAGGCGATGAGGGTATCGGTGTAGGAGATGTCGAGACGAGAAGGTTGCTGTTTGCAGATGACCCTGCTTTTTGGCTTCTTCTAAAACTGGTCCAGCGCTCTCTAGAAAGGTTCGCAGCTGAGTGCAACGCAACTGTCATACGTGTAAACGTTTTTAAAACGAAAAGCTTAGTGTTTTCGTTCTCCTGCCCGTTGCTTTCGTCGGATAAATGGAGAAGCATTGTAGCAGGTGGAGAAGTTCAAGTACCTTGGAGTGATATTTTCTGGTGATGCAAAATAGTAGGAAGTGATTGACTGGCGAAATGGAGTAGCGTTCTGCGTGAACTAGCCCGGACCATTGTGACTAAAACGGAGCTGAGTTTGAAGGTTAAGCTCTCGGTCTCAAGTCGATCTTCATCTCCATGCTTGCCTACAGTTATGAGTCATGGACAGTGATTGAAAAACTTCGATTTCAGGTGCAGGCGGCTGAAATGGATTTTCTGACATGGACAGCTGACTTCACGCATCTCCTCAGAGTTCGTAGTTCAGATATCCGAGTAGGCTTTGGTGTACAATGTTTGGTTCTCTAGATTGGGGAGTTACAGCTGCGATGATTTTGACACTCGAATGCGTTTATAAATGAAATCGAAACATCTCTTTCTTGACCAACTGACCTGTCAAAGAATAGCTTCGGGCAGGTGTCTGGAAGGACTCTGCTCCACATTTGGGTTATCTTCTGTAAAAACTGAAACTGGGTCGGGAACGTTTGAAACATTGTCTGATATCTCTGCCTTTTCGATCCGAGAGGATAAGCGGTCATCGAAGCTAACCGACTGATCATCTAGGAATGTAAAGTGAATGATTTCTGCCGTACGGTCAGCCGAGGCAGGCGTATCCTATTGGCTATCACCGAAGCTCACTTCTGCGAAGGGAACGCTTGACCTGCAGGAGAGGTTGGGTCAGTTCGGTTGCAGGACACTGTAGGCTGTGTAATTGCGCTGTGGGTATGCTGTTGTCTTCGAGGGTGAAACGTGTGGTTGTTTCTGTAGAATAGACGTCAGAGAGAATCTTAGTTTGTCGGATTAATGTGAAGCAGGACAGGCTGAGTGCTATTGTTATTACAGAAGTGTTAGGTGATCAGCGACAGTAACGCTTTCCTTTAAAGTCAGCGCTGGTCGATTCATGATGTCGTAATTGTCGCGGTCTACTTCAGTACTGACTTTGATGTCAAGTACAGCACATTTCCAAAGGCACTGGAGCGTTATGTAATTGACACTGCGAATGAGAATGGCGGGCGTTTATTATGCTTTTGCACGACAAACAGCCTTATCTCGACGAGACCCTATTCCTTCAAAATCAAAGTCACCAAATCACTTGTGTTTCTTACAGTGGAAGTCTACAAACTCAACTTGGCCACGTTATCATCAGTCCCATATAGTGCATTTTGTGGTTCGAGACTTAAGTCGGGCATAGTGCCTATTTGGGTCCGATACCACATTATCATAGCTGAATCTTGTCTAAAATTTACTGTTTCACATCAACATCACTCGATTAAAACAGATGCTTCTCGATGTTCACAAATTTAACCATGATGAGTGCTAACAGAAAAGCGGTAGAAAGCTTTTTTGATGCCCCCGTCAATGAATCTTACAAAAACTACTAAGAACTTGTCTTTCTAGATATTGAATAACTACAATAAATCCTATAACCGTATGAAAGGTTGTCTAATATCATCTTAACGGTCAGACGAATCTGAGTTGCTCAGGTGTTTAAACTTTGCTTATGCCAGATAACGATGACAAACCAGCAACAACATCAACAGCACTGAAGCCGTCGGCTAATGGCATTCAGGAGTTGACACGCCCCTTTATACTTTTCAAGAGGGTCTCTGTAGTAGAGGAGCGCCCTAAATGCAAACCTGGACGGAATGAACCCGTGGTATCTGTCTATGTTATTCCTTAACGAAAGGTACGTTTTTTCTGCCATCTTTCTATTGAACATTTAGTTGAAGACTGGAGGGCTTGATCGAAGGAAGTTCAGGCGAAGGGACATGAAGATGTACAGAAATGGGAAGAAAGAATTTCGTTATTGCAATGCGGATGCATCATAACTCGGGATTGCGGTTAATGTAATGTTGGCAGTGTCAGAATTGTTCATACTGTCGTTGTTTTGAACAGAGACCACATCTGCCTGAGCTTGTGTTCAAAATTATGCCAACCTCTATGCTGTCAAGTTTATGCTTTATGTTGCGCGTATAAAAGTCGGCTTTTTCTTTTGTTGCGTTATTTTTTATCTTCCTATTTTCTAATTTTAAGCATTAAAACAAACGCTTGCGAGAACTTAAAATACCAAAAGCCAGTTCACTCAGGACATGGCAAAATCGCCAATTTTCGCTGTCTAAGATTGTTCGGCCGCTTTCTTCTAATGAAGAAACAACGCAGACAAAAAATATGCAAATGCTGTTAGAGTCGACTGCAGCAAAGCAGTAGACTGCTTTATTTTTTCCGTTTTATAATGTATCTTAATGTTTAAAGGAACTCATAAACATTCGTAATATCCCTGAAGAACTGTGTTTTAAAAATGTAACGATGAATTCACTTCTTAGGAAGGTTCAACAGCGGCAGGTTGTTTTGTCTCCCGCATGTTTTGCGCTGCACTTAATGTTTAATGCTAACTTTATACTTTCTAGAAAATTGGTGCTTCAGCTAAGAGCAACAAAAATGCGGCATGTTCGTCTTGGCAATCTAGTGCCATACTTGTATTCAGTAAAGGTGGTCCTCGAGTCGAAAGCCGTCAACACTGCGATGGTCCGTTGCCGAATTCGAATTCATCGCAGGGTCTTCCAATAAACTCTGTGCGGGTAGTGAAACTTTCGCGGGTTGAGCAGCAGCTGCTGTTGGACATTGTAAGAAAGAAGAAAAGGAAGAAAGCTCCTCTCGGTTCGTTTGTCAAATGGTAGCTTTAGCAGCGACTTGTATAATCGTTGATTTTAGCTGTCAGTGGTGTTCAGCCAACCGACGGCTCTACTGCGGGTCAGATTTTTCGTTCTGAGTTGTCACAGACGTACGTAGATGTACTCCGAGACAAAAGTCATGAACACTTCTCAAAAGCTGTCCACCTTTTCGAGAATTTCGGACTGGTATTGTCTTCAGTGGTGGAGGAATTTTCGGCGGCGGTTGAAATCCGCTGTTTGAAAGCGTCCGGTGATTCGTTGTCGACCCAACTTCCATTGAGTTCTACAATCGCACAAAAGTTCTTCGCCATAGATGGCAACTCTTCGCGAAGCGGAAGAATACTTCATGCTGATTTCGAAGCATGTTGCAACACGCAGTCCGTTTCGACCTCTAAAGCATCTCATCAGTACGAAGTAATCACGAAAAAATCCATTCGCAATGTACGGCATTATCACTGCCTTGCATTTACGAAAGCAGAACTTCAACTTCCGTACCGACTGGCAGGCGGTTCTCGTTTAAGTACGAGAACAAAACTTCTTCTTAGATCATGCAAGCCGTGCAGCGTTGAAATGGAAATGATCCCTCATTCAGCTGAAGGTCTCAAAAAACAAGTTTCTCTGCT